ACTGGGTTATTACAGAAGAAAGAGTTATTACAGAATACAGAGTTATTACAGAATAAAGAGCAGCTCAGACTGAGTTATAACAGAATAAAGAGTTATTACAGAATATAGAGCAGCTCAGACTGAGTTATTACAGAATAAAGAGTTATTACAGAATAAAGAGCAACTCAGACTGAGTTATTACAGAATAAAGAGCAGCTCAGACTGAGTTATAACAGGATAAAGAGTTATTTCCAGAATAAAGAGTTATTTACAGAGTAAAGAGCAGCTCAGACTGAGTTATTACAGAATAAAGAGCTGAGTTATTTACAGAATAAAGAGTTATTTACAGAATAAAGAGCAACTCAGACTGAGTTATTACAGAATAAAGAGCAGCTCAGACTGAGTTATAACAGGATAAAGAGTTATTTACAGAATAAAGAGTTATTTACAGAGTAAAGAGCAGCTCAGACTGAGTTATTACAGAGTAAAGAGCTGAGTTATTTACAGAATAAAGACTCTGTTCCTGCCTCTGCTCTGCTTCCTCTCAGGGGCCGGACCCCGGTAGGCCTGGCGGTCCTGGGCTCCTTCCTGGGCTCCATGCCCCCGCTGCCCGCCCTGCTCCTCACACACCTGCCCTCTGGACCCGAGGTCTTCAGGTACCCCCCCGACGCCCCCCTGGAGGCCCCGGCCGTGCTGCTCTGGCTGCAGCGGGTGGAGCAGGGCACCGAGAGCCCCGCAGGTAAAATACCCCAAAAATAGGGCTAAACTACAAACTACAAACAACTACAAACAAGCTGCATGTGCGTCTGGCGTGGCTCAGAGTAGAGGAGAGATCGAAATGTAATGTTTTGTGTTTCCTGAGGAATATTATTGTTTGTTTATTATTTTTATTTTGTTATTTCTTTAATCAGGACAGTGCACATTAATGAACAATCTCATACAGATTGTAAATGAGCCAGATTCTAGCATAGTTGCTAGTTTACATCTGTCGTCCTGAGGCAGGAAGACCAAACAACACAAACTCACAAAATACAAAATCAGTCCAAACACACGTTCAGACAATGACATTACAAAATTAAAATTAATTCAATTCAATTCAATTTTACTTATATAGCGCCACATCACAACAACAGTTGTCTCTCAGCTTTCCAAACAGAGCAGGTCAGATCCTACTCTGAAGATAACTACAGAAACCCAACAATTCCCACCATGAGCAAGCACTAGGCGACACAGGGAAGGAAAAACTTCCTTTAACAGGCAGAAACCTGGAGCAGAACCATGGCTCTTTTGTTTACCTTTTTACATTATGTGAGAAATTAGCACAATTATTCAACCAGGCAGGCAGCTTCTGGTCATTTGACTCGACCCGTTCGGAGAACAGAAGCAGTGTGCAGGTCTAGGGTTAGGGTTAGGGTTAGGGTTAGAGTTAGAGTTCAGCTCTGTGCTGTTCAGAGCTGAGACTCTGTGGAACAAACTGCCTCATCACATCTTGACTGCTAATACGAAAGGTGCATTTAAAACACTTCTAAAAAAATATTTTGTTGAAAGCCTTAATTCATGAAAATTTGTGTAACAGATTGTAATGTAAGGTGAAATAATTTGAAATGTATAATTGTTCTTATAATGTGATTATTTGATATGTTTTGTGTATCTATATAATTATATAATTTTAGAAGGACCCCAGGAAGAGTAGCTGTCAGATTACTGACAGCTAATGGGGATCCAGATAAATAAACAACTAAACAATAAACAGCTCTCTTTTGGGGCTTCTGAGCCCCAAAACACACTTTGGGCTCTTTGTTTTTTGCATGAAAAACACCAGAAAGCAGCCATTTTCCTCCCACCCAGCGTAGGATGAGTCAGGAGTTTACAGCTCCTCAGTTTATGTTTATGTTTATGTTTATGCATTTGGCAGACGCTTTTATCCAAAGCGACTTACAGAGTAGACGCAATATTACATTCCTCACACAATATTTCATTTCTCAGTGTTCCTGTGGGATCAGATTAGAGCCCTGCTGGTCTAAAGGACCCATAAACAGGTGGATATGAGCCCGGTTTGAGGTGGTTTCTGAAACAGGAAGCTGCTCTTCTCTCTGCAGGGACGCTGAACGAGGACAACTGGCCACCGACCGGCCAGTTCCTGGACTTCCTGAAGATCATGGACGGCCAGCAGGAGGAGGAGGAGGAGCAGGAGGAAGAAGAGGAACAGGAGGAAGAGGAGGAACAGGAGGAAGAGGAGGAGGAGGACCTGACAGAGGAGCATCTTCACCTCCACTCTGAGCTATAACTGCTCTGAACCGCATCCTGTTCCTCGGTGTTTCAGGTCCCTTTGCTGACGACCAGGGAGCCAATCAGAGGCCCCGATGCTGATGTGTGATCACACACAGACATGTTCAGGTGCAAGAAGCATGTGCTGGTTTTCAGCCCGGACAGGGAGCAGGAGGTAGAAGCTTCCACCAGGGGGCAGCAGGGAGTCTCCACACAGGCTGAAAACCGTTTAACTCATTGGGTGCCAAAGACGTCTATAGAGGTCTTTTATGTTTTTCAACGAGAGTGTCTGGGGGACGATCTGCTAAAGCTTGTCCGTAAATATCGGCTTCTAGACAGAGTATGTAGTAACAAATTAACCCACTAGGGGGCAGTGCCACTTTTGATGGGAGATGAGCATAGACTGTAGGCAAATAAGAAAAAGGGAACGGTTCTATGAGAGAACATGTCGCCGGTGAGACGCAAGTCCAGGAAGAACGGAATAAGGTAGAAACACATTTTTTTTCCTGATGAAAGAAGAGAGTCTACTCTTTCTTTTGGTGTGTTCGGTGTTTACATAGTCATAGCACAAACTATTCTGTGGCTCTTGAAAAACCAGCCAAAATGCTCAAAAAAACTCTGGCAGTGTGGGACTCTGTTCTGAAAATGGCTGACAGTCAATGAGTTAAAGAATCCAGATGTTTGACCCGAAACGGTGACGGGGTTTTGATGTTCCAGCAGCTGCAGCCAGATGTGGAGGCAGGTGCCCCAGCTCAGACAGCTCAGCCCTGAAAAAAACCAGCAGAGAACAGGTCTGAAACCAGCAGAGAACAGGTCTGAAA